AAAAATGATGACAGTTACAAGGAAACGAGAGGGGGGGGGTCGAGCCAAACCTTGCAAAAAAAATGGCGGAGCCAAACCTTGGAAAAAAAAATCCCTCCACCGTTGAGGGTTTAGAGGGATTGAATTGGGTTCTATGTGGTTATATGGGGATAATGGAAAAGAAAATGGAAACTACTATAATGGGTTATATAGGGATTATTGGGTATATATTGGTGTATTATAGGGATAATGGAAAAGGAAATGGAAACTACTATAGTATTTAGGGTTTAGGGATTAGGGTTTAGGGGTTAGGGGTAAATATAGGGATAAAGGAAAAGAACATGGAAACCATGATAATGGAAAAGTTGGGCTTCAAGAGGGCAGGGCTTTGGAGGTGAAGGTTCCTGCACAGCAACTTGGCTCGATATACTACTATAGTAGTTTCATGTAGTTTCCATTTTCTTTTCCATTATCCCTATAATACCCCAATATATACCCAATAATCCCTATATAACTATATAACCCATTATAGTAATTTGCAGGGACTCAGCATTCCTCTCCCTTGCTTGAACATTCAAGATGGTCGAAACCATTTTGCTGCCCCCTGGATCCTGGATTTTTTTGAAAGCGAACAAGCATGACTCTTGACGAGGATCTGCAGATCTCTCTTAACGCCGCGTGTTCCCTGGGCTCAAGAGACCCCCTAAACTGGAACTCTAATGAGAACTGCCCCCGCCATAGCTGCAAACCATTTCTCGAGGCTGCCCGGGAGATGAGCCGCGCACGAGAGAAGGCTCTTGAAGAAAGCGGCCTGTCGCATGGCCACATCACCGAGGCCGCGGACAGGGGATCAGAATCTAGGGCTTCGCAAAGAGATTCTTCGGATCTGTCAAATTCTCCAGACTGCCAGGGGACGCACAAGCAAAATGCAGCATTCTCGCGTCAAGGTTTGGCAAACGTGGAAATACACCCAGCGCGAGTGGTTTGAGACATTGGCTCATTCGGCAAGATCGTTCTGCCCTGGGTATGTGGGGCTTGGATCAGTCAAACGGGCCTGCGGCAACTGCTTTGCTTCAGGAGTAACAGCGGAACGGACGTAGACGAAAGTATTTCAGTTTCTGACTAAACTCCTTTGTATCACCTCTTACTTGCAGCGCCTAGGCGAGGTAGCTAGCCCAGGAAGGCCCAGCATGAACATGTTCACGTATACAGGGGAAAAGGGTTAATTGGTGTTTAGATTAGAGACCTTGGCCATTGTCACCACCCAACGGTCCTTGGGTGCCTGTTGGTCCGCTGGTTCCTGCAAAGATCAGGCCTTCGGCATCAGCAACGGCCAGCCTTACATGGTGAACATGGCCTTTGACCCGATGCTAGCGGGATGCCTCATCTACTTGATCCAGGCAGGGATGAGAAAAATTGAGAAGGTCCTGGTTGAAGGTTTATGGTTTCGTGTTGGGATAGCTCCGGTTTTAAGTGAGGGAGATTGCAGGTCCTAGGTTTGCTGACTGAGGGATGAACTGTGGAAGAGCCTTTAGGTCTTGTTGGCCCGGCAGCAAGAAGTGAGAACGAAGATGGCACACTGTTTAGGCAAGGAACTCCCGGTTCGAACGAATGTGACAAGTGCCCCAGATTTTGGGACATGCCCAGT